AGAACAAGATGAAGGTAGCTGTTATTGGAAATCTGTATTAGTTACATTCGCTTGGGCTGAAATCTAGACAAGGTCTAACAGTAAAGGGCTTGGCTTTATTCTGATAGACATCCTAAGTGTTATCAAAATTGCATATACACATCACACTATAGAAGTCATAAATCAATACAGCGGCAGCACATGACTATTCTCAAGTAAGTATTTTAACACCTGCACAGCTCTTCAGTTCAAGGGATTACAAAGCACTTCATATACAAAAGTTTATTCCCCATGTCTAGGGAGTAAAAGGCTATGACAGTAGTTTTTAATATAGGCTTATGGCAGCTTTGGCAAAGAAATATTTTGGCCAGAAGTTTTCAGCATGGATCTTTTTTTTTATTCATTATTTAAATCCTCATTTTATACAAATATTCTTGAAGAAACACAGGGCCCTTATTTAAATATTAGCAATAAGGCCAGCACACAAATACACTGACTTAATCATTTTAAGATTAAAATCCTGTCATTGCAGTCAGCAACATCCGGATGATAAAAACATATTAATAGAAGGGGCGAATAATTAATTTTAATGTTTCTATTAACTACGAATGTATAATGTAATAAATGCTAATCTAATAATAAGATTCCTGCATACTCAGCAGAGATTCTAAATGCAAAGTAGAACATTTATTTATTCAGTAAATTTATCCAATTACTCATCTAAGATAGTCCTCTAGGCTTGTCTCCAATTAATAAGAAGATACAGGGATCTTAATTTCATCTAATTTAAACACCTATTTTATGAACAGGATTGATCACCTCTCTCCATCACCTACAAAGTTTATGACATGTGACTAAAACCACATAGCATTAAATCTCACCTCCAAATGAATGCTAAAAAGTACCACAACTATGAAGAACAAACAAAATACGGGTAAAAAAAATGCTAAAGATTAATGGATAGACTAAAAGAAGTCTCCAAAATGTATACATGGGTTGCAGCTGACTAGAAAAAAAAGCATTAAATAAGTAAACACAAACATACAGAGAACTTTTGGCATGCTTTTTTTTAACGTACGAAGCACAGCCGATTGCTATCAAGAAATGTCTATGACTTTTGTTCTATTTTGCTTTTTAATTGAGATAAGCATTTCTAAACAGAAACACTAAAAACACTCCTAAAGGTATTTTTACCTGTAGCAGATTTTCTATTACAGATCTAAGTGTTTTAAATAGCTGAGCTATACACATCAATCCAGAAATGTTTAAATAATAATCCGAAATCCTTTGAAATAAATATAGAACAAACCTAAGGCTCTAAACTATTTTTTGTAGTCATCATCCTGACTTTACTCAACCCAACTATAAAAACATTCTTTAAAAATGTCCCTTCATCAAAAGTACATACTTAAAAATACCCTATTAACCTCACAGACAGTGGCAGGGGTTTAAACCTCCCATTAGCTTTTAGAAAACCGAGTTTTTTTATAAATAGTGCCCACTGCAAAATTGAAGGAATACTATTGTCATAACACAATTTTCTTGAATATTCTTTTTCTGTTTACTGCATACCTATTTTGTTACTCTTCATTTTTGTACATTTCTCATGTTATTATTACAAAGACAAAAACCACCTTGAGAACATCATGTGAGCAGCTATCAACTGTAACAGAGTATGGATTACATGTTTTTTTCTGTCATTAAAAAAAATATTATCTTTTAAAATTACACCATCTATGGATTTCCCTTCTGTTCTCAGCAATTCTGGAATTTTTAAACTAGTTCCCACTGACAGCGCTGAGCTGTACAGTCCTGGAAAAAGACATTATACTCCTTAAGTTTCAAAGGAAGTGAACAAAGGCAAGAAATGGCTCTTGTAAGCATCCCCTGAGGTGAAATGCTCTTGTATGAGTTCACCCCATATTATAAATTAGAGTCCACTTTGAACAAAGGAACCACTTCAGTTTGATGTTGCACCTTACATGAAACTAGAAAATTTAATCAGTAGGAAAAAAAACGATAGGAAACCACGATGCATTTGTTCTACTTATTGGTGCTGGTTTTGTGGTTGTTGATTAGGTGGGTTAGGGTTTTTTGGCAAGGAGAAGTAACACATTAACAGTCAACAGTTTGAAAATAATGCTCTAGGAATATTCATGAGAAGAAAAAGTTGGAACTATTTAGTATCCACACTTTACTATGTTGATGATGGAGCTATTATAGAATTGCTCTCCTCCTTCAACCCCTAGACACTTTCAACTGAGATAATATGGCTTTAAAATTACAAAAAAGTCTTAGACACATCACCAGAAGTTTAAAACAAAGTGAAAATGCTTCCATTTGGTCATAATTTTTTTAGAATATGTGCGACATTGACCACAGTTTAATCCAAAATATCAAATCAATTAAGCTTTTTTCATTGTCACAGCTACACGAAACATAGATTCTCACACAGAATTTGCGGCTGTACAATAGCAAAGAGAGCAACAAAACTTACACCCTGACCTAACAGCGATCTACTTTGAGGCTGAAACAGAAGATTCTTTCTCAGTATAACTCTTTCATGAATATTATCACTTTGGTATTTCCTTGGCATTTATAAACAGCTGTTTACAAAAAGCCATCAGAAACATCAGTAAGAAAAATGAAAATAACTGCACTTGACTAGAAAATTGGGTATTAGTTACACTTCTGATCACAAGATTTGCCATGGGCTTTATTTAACCACCATTCAGGCCAGTCAACATTCCACATACCTCTGAAGCTTTCAAACATGTTTGTTTATACAGATTATGATACCAGTGGTAACCACGATGAGTCACCTTGTTTTCACTGAAGTAGAACTAGCTGCTACAATCACTTAAATATAGAATTGGACAACATAGGTATTCCTTTTTTATCTTAGGCGTTTCTGGTGATATTAGAAAATTTCTTTGTTCCACAGAACTGCCACATGTTAGTCCACAGTGAATTCAGAATTTGGGGTCTTTTAAGTTTATTTATCCCATCTTACCATAACAGTTTGTTACTTTGCAGTTCATTTAGGTAGATGATTCAGAATGTGGAAAAAGTCACGGTCTTGACACCTGTACTGTGGTTAGAAGTGAGGTAGTTTAAAGAGGGACACCTACATTTTAAAGAAGGGAAGTGTAAGTTTTCCATTTTCCCAAGCAGATTTTTTTTTCTCTGAAAAGCATAATCTTCTAAGGAATAATCCACCTCTTTGAACTCCAAAAAACAGTAGTAATCAACTTACTAACTTACTTAAACTGAGGAAAGGAGAGTTTTAGTTAATTGGAGAACTTCTCACTAGAAGAAGCTACAGGAGGACAGAAACATGAGTGTATCAAACAAGATGACAACAAATGGCATATTACTAACTTTCTTTTTTTCCCCTCTAAAGCTTGCATTTTAAAATCTTCTTAGGTTTCTGACTGCAGGGGAATTTCCCTCCCCAAAAAAGCAATAATATGTAAAAAAACACGTTGTATGACTGTGAAGACAGCAGAATAGAAAAGTATTTTCTCCATGGTTCTTAAGTTTAAAAATAAATATAGAAAAAATACTAAAGTTATTTTCATTAAAAACAAGAAAGTGCATACTCCATTTATCATATGCCAGACCTATTTTACAGAAGAGCTTCCAGTCAGATATGAGCTCCCCATATCACAGTAAGTCTTATCACAGTGAAAGGTAGGAGTCTCATCAGAAAGAAACACACAGTTGACTCAGATGAGCATTTTATTTTGACTTAGGAGATCAGTTTTGAACTAGTTTTCCCACTTGCCCCCACTTGATTAGCTTTGATTTCCGCATTTTGATTTGCATTGTGGAGCCATCATCTCAGAGTTTGCTAACTGAATTCCTGTTTGAGAATCCAAGAACACCTACAACGCACTCTAACTGCTAAAAGGCATTCACAGCACCCTTGGACCCACTCTGCCCGAATTAGAATAAATCTGTAGTCAAACTCCTGAAACTCCACGTGGATATCAAGTACTCTGACCCATCTCGTTTATGCCAGAATTACCCCTGTTGTTTCACGCTACTAGTTAGCAATGACATTTTTTCAGTCCTTTGTCAATGCTATTTCTTCAGTAATATCACTACTGCAATTCAGGTGTTATACATAAAAATTAAAAGCCTTAATTAATTTGTGCCTATGCTTAAGTTAACAACATTTTAATGGATTACTACTTGTAATTAAAAACAATTCCAAGCAAAAAAGCTCACATCTAATACTTTGAGCAGATAACTAGGTAATATAGTTGATTAATGAACTGACCTTTTTATTTTAGAAAAAAAAAATTGGATTAAATAATGAATCAACTCCAAAATTAAGGACACGTGACAAAATTTACAGATTTTATTACTGTCCATAATTTTAAATTATCTCATGATTTACCACTGCTAATATTCTAAATTTACAAAAAATGAAGACAAGGTGCTAAGAGCAGGATAGCAAGACTGTTTGTAAATGGACAGAAAATCAATCGTAGTTTCCTTCTCCATATGAATAGAATTGTACGTTGTATTTTATACATGGAATATGAATGAATGATAAGAGACACCAGTAAGAAGAGAAGCATGTAGGAAGTGTAACTGTTCATGACTACTGCTCTCTACCCGCACTTTACAAAACCTGTTAACTGAAGTCATCATACAAGATAATTTTCTACTTTCAACTAAAGAAAAAAACCAACAGAACAGGTTCAGAATTTGACCACTGATACTGTACAGTATGAAATCCACATTCATGCTATGAGATGCATAGCTATGTTTTCTTGTCTTTACAGGATTGTAGGAGAAGTATCAAACTTTTACATAGTTACTGCACTGGTAATGGAAAAAAACATACGACTAGAATTAAACCTGTAATTTCATTTAAAAAAAATGTTTGTAATTCAATTTCTCTTTATAAGCAGAAAGCCACAGCAGTCATTCCTCCTACCTAAAACTCCTTAGATATAAATATAGTTATACTTTTAGATTTTTTTATATGCATTTTGAAAGATACTTACTGTTCTAAGAGTTGATCATATTTTCTTAAAGCATCCTTTTCAGCAATAATTGCTCTTTCTTTTTCAGCGACAGCATTATCTCTTGCTTCTCTCAAATTTCTGAAGGAAAGAAAAGTTATTCTGTCAAGAATCTGTTAGGAAAAAGACTGTCTTGCTTCATGAGTTACAACTGACTGATCTTAACTTCAATACTACCTTCTGCAGTTCTCACAGAACGATAGAGGGGTCTGTCTGTCTATATGCCTATTTATCACAGAGTCTTTACTTCAGATTACTTTCACATATATCAGCAAAGTTTCCAGTTCTGAAATTCTAAAAACAATGAACAAATCACCTATTTATATGTATAAATCTATGAATAATTCTAGAATACTAGAACTGTAAATTGTTCATTTTTTGTAAGAATTAAATAAATGCCAGTAATTTTGCTTGGTACTTCTAGCTGGGGGAATGCTGTCCTCCTAGCTGAGATGATTCACAACTTTTACAACAGAGCAGGAAAAGATGAGCTAGACACAGAAATCCTACTTCCACATATGACTAATTGGCTAGTTAGTCTGATATTTAGGTTACTGCACATCATCGGTGTCTCCTGGCTTCTACTGCTGGCATCATTTTTGATCTGCACAGAACCGTAAAATAACACAAACATTTTAGTGCAAACACCAAAAACATTTTAGTCCCCTCCATCACAGGAACTTTTTGACGTAAAGCAAAGTGAAATTCTAGTCTCAGGCAAATTTTGAAGAAAAGAGAAAAGTCAAGATATAGACATGAATGGAGAACTTAAACCCATGTAGATGTTATCTTAGGTCATTTTAGCCCCACTAAGAGGTATGTAATTTTTGGATGAAAGACTATTTTCTAGACTAAGGAAATGTTATCGATGGTACTTTTCTGAAGTCAAAGTAATCTATACAAACGGGAAACAGTTACTTATGAAGAATCAAGATCAGAATTATGCAACAGTTAACTGGCTATGAGAGAAAGACAACAAATTTTTCTTTAAAAATTGAGTTACTGAACTGCAGAATTTACCAATGAAATTCAGGGACTGATCTTGAGAGCAGATTCTTTAAAACTGACTCATATCAAAATATAAGATTGTGATAATTAATTTTGTTAATAGCATTAAGAACAAGCACATTATGTCTCAGAGTGGGAGTGCAACGCTGTATCCTTCAGACTAGAGTAACGGAAGTGGGATAAAAATTAAGTGGTAGGAGATATACAGCGACTAGTTTAAACTATTTTGCTTAACTGAATAGCCAATCAACTGAAAATGAAATAGAAGGAAAAAGGACACAAGCAAGGTAATGCTCAACCAACAAGATGACAATCACAGATGTAACTTCTGTTGAAATATTATCAACAGAGCTATGAAACATGGTAGCGACACTGCCAGTTTTCAGATTGTGTGACTGTGATTTTAGAAGACACAAAGCACTGATATGATGGCTGCACACACAGGCCATATGTACCATCAGGTATCAGGCAAGCCCGTCAAACAAGTGAAAGCACCCTTCTAATACTACCTACAGACTCATAAACAAGTATGGGGGAAAAAAAAAGTTGGAATGAGGGCAGGGGAGGGGAAGCAGAAGCACAAGGGCATCTCTATTAGCTTTCAAAATAAACCTCTTAGCAACTGCCATTTATTGCCCTTCAGTTCACGTCCCTAAACTATTCTAGAGTGCACAAACTGGATTCCGGTCAGATTGACCCAAGCCAGAAGACATGCTCAGAAAGAGCATCCAACATGCTCAAAACTACTAAACTGTGTTTGATCTATGGGAACAGACTACAGCTAATCTAAAGTCAAACCTCATGCAGACATTCACGTGCCCTGTAAAATCACTCATGCTTGCAAATGCAAACGTAGCCAATGCTTACTACAACCAAACAAGTGAAACTGATCCCAAATAAAAAAAGCATGAAAGCACCACCTTTTTGTTGGTTCCCTTACCCCCATTTTAGCTTCTTGAACTGACCCATCCAAGCGCAAGGTAAATGCAAGAAATTCAAAAGAAACATCAGGCCCCTCAGGCTTGGCAAAGTGGCAAGAACAACTGAATATTAGATGAGCGTAGCTGCAATACCATTCCATGATGAAAGATGAAGATGAAACCAGCATTTCAGCTTTATTTTCAGTCACAATCAGCATCTCGTCATATCACGCAACTTCATTGCAAACTGCTTTGCTCACAATGTGGGGTTCCATTGAGGGGTACCTCAGACTGGGAAGCACTGTCTTACAGTGGAATTTTTTTAGTATTTTATATAGAAAGACCATACACTAAAAATCCATTTTTGCAAAATTTGAGGTCAAATCTAAGGGATTTACATTTCAGAAGTAATTACTTCAAAATGAGGAATAAAACTGCTGTAAATTGGTTCCAGATACAAATGAAGTATCTTTCAGTAGCTTTCTCAATGATATACAGACCCTCGTCAAATCTCCACCAACAGCGGAGGTTTAAATACATACTTTGTAATTCAGAATGGATTTGAATACAGGAAGTGGTGTGGATGTATGTGTATGTGTGTATATGTATTTTACTCACACTTGCAAAACTACACAATGATGTAGTTTTTTTTTTTAATTAGAACCTTTCAGTTGACTGGAAGACAGACAGCAGGAGTCATGTTCATTTTTCACTCTTGCAAGCAGTAACAAAACTACCTATTAGAGGAACGGAGCTGATGCCACAAATGTCTTTTTACTACAGTCATTTCCTGCTCCACACAAGACATTTTCAGGACATCTACAATGAAGTTGTAATGAATTATTAAGCACTCCTCACATTTTAAAGGAATAAAAGTGGCAAAAAACAAAGTCAAAAAGAAATCCAGTGCCAAAAGTCTAAATCCTTAAATCCCTAAAGGCTTACACATGTAACTAACTCTCCATGTAATTCCATGGGATTCAACAAGATGACACACATACAAAATTCAATATGCAGGTCTTCACAGGATTGGGATCCTCTTCAAAAGAGGATTTTATAATAATTTACAGGAAATCAATGCTTTTTTGAATCATAATGCTATAAAAAATCTCAAATAGATTTATTCTAGAAAGGTCTAAATCTTACTGGTTTCCCCTCATTTTTTCTGCTTTACTTTCTACATCAACACCTTCTCTTCTGGTTTCATGGCACGCTTTCAAGATTACTTGTATAGCATGACAGGTAAACCAACACATTTTGTATTAATTAACTAACACTATACATCTGAACAAACTTCCAACCAGTAATATTTAACTAGAATATGAATTTTAATAATACTTTTCATTGACAATGTTGGATGTCCATCATTTAATAATAAATATAACACCATACATTTACTGTACAAGTATCAATTTAATTTTTACAAGATTTTCATCAGTTTTATACGTGAACTTAAATTCTCACATTCTGATCACCTCTCAAAGAGCCAATCAACTAGAATTATACCTAACCACAAAACCGTACTTTGTCATTTTTGCCCAGTTAGGTTATTGCCTGCATCTTATCTACCTGTTTTCACGTTCATACATCTCTTTTGAAGTGCTTCTTAGTTGCTCAATTTCTTGATTTGTTTTCAACCTTATTTGTTCCAACTCTTCATGTAATCTCTTTTCATATTCCATTTTATAGTGGTCTCTGTAAATCAGCAAAACACAATGTGTGAATTTAAAAATAATTGCACTGGTCAAAATATCAAAACTTCAGGTACAGCTGTACAAGTACAGTAAAGCACTTCTTGATTTTACATTTTATTTCAATTCTTACTCATTTTCCTCCCACATTGCTTGAAATACATATTAGCCTATGTTCTCATACAAATTGAGTGCAAAATCAGTCAGGAATAAATAATATTTAATTGAGAATAAATAAAAGCTTTCTGCATACTGTTTTGAGTTTTTTCGACTAATTTGACACTGATTAATCACACATTATGCTTAACATTCTTCCAGAAATTCTTTGTCAGCCTCTACATGAGTGTTTACGTTAGTTAACCACTTAAAAAAAACCAAACAAACAAACCCCTCATTTTCCAAGGTTTCCAGCTTCTTCATCACTGGGTAAGGGTTGATTATCTTGCTAACTTACAATACTGCCATGCTACTATAACACTTTGTTGTGTACTAGTTGCACCTCATACAGGGAAAAAACATCACAAGAAACACCGAAGATTACATGCTGTGGAGATTTGTGAAGTCAAAAAACCCCAACATCCTGGAATTTATCCTGTCAATGTGACACATAATTTAATTAAAATATATACTTAAGTTTTTAAGCAGCAGATATCAGAAGACTACAGGATAAAAGAATTTAATTTCAGAGTAATATTGGCATCTTCTTGTAACTTTGGAAGCCCATGACAGATTGCAGGGAATCCCATAAAGGATTTCTCCTACAGAACTACAAAAAAAGGGTATATTGTAATTACTTAACAGCTAAGGCATGTTAAAATCTTATAGTATCTGGTTAAGCATAGTTCAAGAATAATCAATCAGCAGTGAAGCAACTGGTAGAAATTACAGGTTTGGAAATAAAAGAATGTTTATGAAGAAATGCGCAATTACAACTGTGAAAGGTTTTAGATTTCTTCCAATTTCCAATTGTTTTTTTAGAAATCAGTACCTGAGCTGGCCAAAACCTCCTTCACATTAACTAAAACCCCTAAAATATTTAAATGTCAGAATGCTTTCTGTCGAGGTTTTCCTGTTTTCTTCTTATTGATATACTGAATTTCAGCTGGCCCCTCTGCTTCCTCAAGTGTGCCACATTACAGCAAAATACTTCATGAAGATCTTTGATACAATGAAGAAGTTCACAATTAAAAAAAAACCAAAACCTCAAACACGCTGACTGGAATGTAACGTCCCCATCAGAAACTGTGTGTTCCTTACATGTCATATGGCTCAATATGTAGCAAAAAAAAGTGCTGAAGATCAGGATACAACTCTTATGTGCAGAATCAACAAGCATCCCCATTATCTTGGTACTTAAACAATTTGCTATTACCAGTACTACCTGCCAAAAAGAAATTTCTGTCATTGCAGAAATTACACTTTACCTCCCTTGGTAATACTATCAGAAGTCAGGAAATTTCACTGAAAAAATCAGATGAATCCAGAACAGTCTTGAACACCCACAGTGGTATCACCAGAACACAGTTCAAAGTGACGCTTATCTTTACGATGACTAAAATGAACAAATGGTATAGTAAAGACCATGTTACGAATATATAACTTGACTGCCCTATCAATGCCTTTTAATAAACACCAACTGAGTTGCTGCTGAAGCAAAAGACCATCATTTCCAATTTTTATTCCTGATCTGCAGTTACAGCCTTTTGCTCGAGCAGTAATTAAAAATGTTTTTGCCTTATCAAGTTGTTTCGTCTTCTTCAGGCTGTAGGCTTCAATGAGCTTTCCAGGCCTATTATTCATAAGGCTTTATACTGCAAATAAACTAAACATGATCTGAGCATCTCAATACAACGATGGATTGTGTTTTAAGATTAAAGATATAAAGGGAAAGCCTTCGTGTTGGTCTGTGCTTACACATAGATCCCCAAGAACTGTAGCTATCAGCTGCTGCCATTCATCTTGCTACCATCTCAACATATTTTAAAGTGTCTCTTTTTTAAAATTTGGGAGGCTAATCCCTCAGTTTCCTAAAGTCTGTAATTTTCTAACTACAGTACCCCAATGCCAGCAGTGCTGACGGTGACCAGAGGGTGAATTATTCTTTATTCCTAGAAATAGATACTTGGGTTTGTTTTCATAGAATAGTTTGAGGTGGAAGGGACCTTTAAAGGCCATCTAGTCCAACCCCTCTGCAAAAAGCTGCGACATCTTCAACTAGATCAGGTTGCTCACAGCCCCGTCCAACCTAACTTTGAATGTTTCCAGGGATGGGGCATCTACCACCTCTCTGGGCAACCTGTGCCAGTGTTTCACCACCCTCATAAAAAATTTCTTCCCTATATCTAGTCTGAATCTATCCTCTTTTAAAAAGTTTAAAACCATTACCCCTTGTCCTATTGCAACAGGCCCTATTTTCATCATCTTCATTCCTGAACTACAGCAACCAAAAGAGATCGATGTGAAGCGAGCATTAAAAAGTTCAAATTCTTCAAAAGGCAGCAAATAGAAGCTTACTATCCAAACTGATGTCACCTCCAGGAAGCACGGAGGACTGTAGAATGTCCATTAGTTGGCACAGTTTTCTCCTGCTCTACTTTTGTACCTCCCTAATTTACCTAGCAAACAAATAGGATTCTGTAGAGCTCTCTGTAAGAAACCTGATACAGTACATATTTAACCCGAGAGATGGATGATTTAAATTGATGAATAGACGGGAATCCCCACTATGGGATGCAGTCTCAGAAGATGTACACAAAGTGTGTACATGTGTGTGGGAAAATGTAAAGAAGGGACAGCTTCTGCAATATTGCAGATCACATGCGAGTTTTAAAATGTTTACAAAATGATACTATTACCACCATATTACAAAATAAACCTTACATTAACATTTTTATATTTTACATCACATTTCTGCATTATGAAATGACGTATTCAAAGTTCATCAGCAGGTCAGCAGCAGAACCTTGAACAAAACCTAGGCTGCCCAAGCTGCAGTGCAGTCTTACATATGCTGCTTGATACACTACACCGTCTTCTCTGCTACACTGTATTGTCCCTGCAAAAGACAGTAACGATCACTAGACAAGAGCGGACATACCAGCATTTTCATTACAGTCAATATCTGCCCTATTAAAACTAGCATCATGAAGAGAGTCGCCAATACCAATGATGTCAAGAGAGAGATTTGGTACCAGTACAGAATCCAAATGACAGTATGAAGATCTCTTAAGGCAAAGTAAGAGTCACAGAGTTTCTCTTTAGTTGGTATCGAAATGCAAGAGACAGAGATCTCTGACATTCCAGAGGACAGTGAAGGAAGCTTGCACAGTATCCCAAACTGTGGTAGAGTCAAGCTACGTACATCTCTTTCTAGGCTCCTCAAATAGAGACAGATCTGTAAGACTGCCTCTACATTATCACTGGAGGATAAGGATTTCAGTGTGGTTTTCTAGAAATAGAAATCTAGCTACAAGTCACTGCTTACAAGCACATTTCTAGAGAAAGACTGCTCAGACCTACATGATTCTTTCAAACCTCCTTTAAAAGCAAGTCTTGAAAATGTATTTGAAGTGCAGAAGTTCCAGGTGAACATAGTTCTGAGATGCACATATGTAAAACAGATTAAAAAAAAAAGTTTAAGTGACTGCATTAAAAGGAAAAATAGTATTAAAAGCACTTCTGATAGGGGCTGGAACTCCACAGCTGATAATTTCAGTAGAGTGCTCTTCTATTTCCATTTAGATAACAATTTTTCTTGTAGTTGTATTACAGGTGAGTCATATTAGCACACTTCATCTTAGTTATAGAAGGACACAAGATTTATAGATGCTGTTTGCAGTTCCATCTTGATTCAAACAGAAGGAAACAGCTGCAGAGAAACTGAACCTACTTCATACTCTAAACTTATTGATTGAATCCACAGGTGTTTTTTTAAGGACAGTACTAACCAAAAAATGGTTTCATGTTCATTAATGAAGTAGGTACAGGCAAATACTTTATGTAACTTCGGGATATATATTGAAATTACATTTTCTGGCATCTAGATGTAGGAAAATAACATGAACTGGATAACTTTGAACTCTGAATAAGAAAAATCTAAATGTGGTTTTAAAGTGGACAACGCTCTTAGTCATGATTTAGTTTTAGGTAGTCCCATGGGAAACAGAGGGTTGGACTCGACGCTCCTTATGAGTCCCTTACAACTTGAGATATTTTGTGATTCTATGAAAAATGGTATTACATATGTAGCAAGATATGTAGCTGAATAGCACAGTGTTTCCCGTTCAACATCCCATACATATATCTGTACCAATTCAAATGGCATAAGGATTTAACACTATTTACCACTGTGGCTAGCATACAATGATCAAGGTACTTCTCAAGGATACATTTAGAGAATCTGTATTCAAACTTAAGATATCAAAGACCGATAGCTCTAATAGCTGATACGAAACATACTATATCCTATTTTAAACATTTGTGAAAATTAAATTTATTTTGTTCTGCAATAATAATTTAGATTGTCTTTCAAATAGTCCTGTTTTTAATAAAACACACGAGGGGGGTAAGATACGTTACATATGCACTTTAAAGAATTTTTCTCTCTTTTGTAATTAATTGGTTACCTTCATAGATTTCTATATACACCTAAGAAAAGTTGCCACAAACCTTCAATGCTGACATCTTCACAACTATGGTCTTATATCAAAGGTTTAAAAAGTAATTTCCTGATACACATTAAGACCCAACAAAAGCGTTCTGTTTCTAGTTAGACAAATATGGACTAACTTTCTGAAAGTTAAAATTATTTTTAATTAAACAGGATTTGTGCAAGAAACAAGGCAAAACAGTTAAATAACTTGTCTACTGATAGAAGCGAACACACCATAACTTACCTGGATGCAATGTATTTTTCATACATTTCTTCCCTAGCTTTTTTGGCATCCTCTAGCTGAATCTGAAGTCGTTCAAGACGATCTTCTTCATGTGCACAGCGAACACTAAGCTCCATGTTCTGGCGATTAAGATAATCTTTATCTTTTTGCAACAAGTTGAGGGATTGTTGTATGGTTGCCAGCTATAAAAGGCATTAAAAAGAACACTTTAACATGAACTTCAAGATAAGTATTTGACCTATGTACAACATATTTGTGATTTCATTTCAACTCTCTTCTGTGAAATCACGTGCAGCAAAAAACTCTATTTACTGTTATGTTTAATGTAAGTTGGTGAAGTTTTACGCTTAAAAAAAGACTTTAATAAAATTATAATTGTATGAGTTTTCATGATTTATTTCTGGTAGCTGGCATCTGAAAAAGGGGTATAGTGTCCTGTAATCTACCTCAGTATCTAAATAGTACTGAAGTACTGAATAGTGATAGTACTGAATAGTATTACATCAGAAATACTGATGTCAAGTTTTGCTGCCAATCTGTCATCATACTGGCTACAATATTCTCAGCAATAGAACTGAAAAGTTTAAGGGAACCAGAGTGATTATTGCTCCATAAAGAAATGGTAAAACTGCTAGTTCTGGGCTGAAGTATATCATGATTGTTGTGGACAAGGTAATGTTCCAAGCTAGCACCAAGGGCAAAGAGGGTTATGCATGCCTTGTTCTGACTTTCCATTTAGCCTAGTGTTGCTACAAAAGGATGAACTGATGCCAAAGTAGAAACACGAGTATCTTGTGAGTCTCTGTAACAGCCTTCCCAATCATCAGATCAGTCATCTTTACTACTCCAAGAAGAAAGTGGTGTGGGAGAGCGTAGTCTCCACCTATTTGAGGTTAACATCGTCAGTGAACAGCCATAGAGTATACTGGCACTGGTGCAGTGGCCCAACTCCTTACTCATGACAGCAAACTGCAGTTTTATCACCTTAAATAATGTTGCTGTTTAAGGTCCTGAGGATGTTGCATGCGAAGTTCAAAGAATGATAAATTAATAACCTCTTAGAAATATGTCCCCAAAGCTATAAAGACATTATGTACATGTTTTAGATACAATTCACCCTTCTCGAGCCATAAAAGGACTAAAAGTTACTTAAGGGAGATACTTCAGTCAAAGACATGGAGCAACTAGTTAAACATCTGAAAATTTGTACTAAACAAAATGCTCTTAAAGGTACGCTTCTCTCCATCTGCCCACTTGCTGAGCACCACAGAGGGTGAGGTATAAATGCCTGTCCTATACTCTGCTTTATTTCAGACAAAAACACAATTGTCCTCTCTCTCCAAGTAGCAAGTCATATATATATTCACAATGAACACAGACATCATGGATTACTACATGAAGAAAGACATCTAGCAGTTACTACCCCTCCAACTCTTCCTTCCCTGGAATAAATACTGCATAAACAGTTACAATGGTATGCTCTTCCAGTCTACAACTTGTGATACTGTATCATCATACACAAAAACCACCACAGACCTTCCAGACGATTCAAGTAATGACACAGTTTGAAGTGGTATTTTACCTTAAATTAGTATTACTTTTATTACCTCTTAGATTAATATAGTATAAAGTTAACGAAAAAAAAAGTCATTTTTGTGGCTACACTGCAGTGCTTGATGTGTACATACAAACATGATGTACATGACAATACTTTTTTGGCCATTGTTCTATGCTAAGAACAAACTTGCATTCTGATGTCCTTTTACAATGCTAGAACACTGACGAACAAACAACCTAACAAAGCCTTCAAACTGATACAAAAGAGGAGAAAAAAGATATTTTCTAACAGAAATTCAGTTTCTTTCCTAGTGTTTCAGAGAATCTCTACGGCTACCTGTAAAATTAGGCAGAGGAATACTATCTTGAAAGTGGTACTTACAGCTACAATTTTACCTGTAACACTGTCATATAGAGAAACTAAGGAACACACCCTCCCCTGAATTCTCTCAGGCGTAACTGGTCTCATTTACTCAGCTGCCAAAGTGCTAACACACAAAGATCCTGCATTTGATTCTTGCCTGAATCTGTACAGAAGTCAAGAACAACCCTCTCATGCAGTGCCCCTTTCATATCACATTAGAAAATAAAATCACAAATAAATTCAGAACAGCCAATCAATTATTTCTCTATTCCTTTCGGTGTTTCCCAAAAAGATTTCTATACAGAAACATGCCTTAAAAAATAGTCATATTTTTGAACCAAAATTGCACAGAGCTACAGATCATCTGATAATCAGTAAATGACAATATAAATTGAAACAGTTTCTTTTTTGAGATTCCCTAAAAGCTTCTCCTCCCTCCTGAAAAGCTGTTGCAAAGTCAAGCCTACATTAGACGAAGGGAAAATGAGGGGACTGGAGCATCTCTCCTACGAGGAGAGGCTGAGGGAGCTGGGCTTGTTCAGCCTGAAGAAGAGAAGGCTGAGAGGGGACCTTATAAATGTTTATAAATATCTCAAGGGTGGGTGTCAGGAGGATGGGGCCAGACTCTTTTCAGTGGTGCCCAGCGACAGGACAAGGGACAACGGGCACAAACTGAAGCAGAGGAAGTTCCGTCTGAACATGAGGAAGAACTTCTTCCCTCTGAGGGTGACGGAGCACTGGAACAGGCTGCCCCTTAGTGATTCCACTAGTTTTGGATGATTCTATCCTAACTAGCTTCATTAAGGTGAATAATTAATCCTGGAAGTTCAGTGAAGTAATCCTCCCTACGAACAATTTAGATGCAGAAATAGTGAAAATAGATACTGAGTGATGGAAGCTTGTACTGCTATAAACCACCAGAAGTCCTACAGATCAAGGCAGTGGATTTGGAAACCTTCTCTATATGAGTGCCTTGACCCCAAAGTTATCATACATGCCCAGTAAGGGAGCTATCACTGAACACAATTCATGACTCTTAGATGAATGAATCACTGAACAGAGAAGTAGCAAGGGACATTTCTCTTGACCTGACAGGCCTCTGGCTCTTGGAATGTCTTTGAAGCATCAGAAACACATCCCCTTGTGCAACACTAGTGCTACCAGAACGGCAATGACTGAGATCTGAGTGAAGTGACAGACCTAACTGATCAGAACTCACTGGAACCCTAACAAAGATGAGAAACCCTCTGTGCCTGAAGAGGCATTTATTCATTTTCCCAGCAGAAAGACTTTCAAAGACTAACAGAGACATGTTAGAGAAAAACAGCCCATCACCCTAGTAGATAGTCCTGCCCAAAAAGGAAGCAGCACTGAATTCCTCATCAGTAGGTAGTATCATAGAAAGCAGAGGTCCAAAATAACAGTCTGTCTATTCCTGACACAGAACTAACTTCTGTAAGGGCAAAGTGAAGGAAACTTCAGGCAACTGAACTATTATTTTACTAGAGAGTCACAAAGAAGAAAAACTATGAATTCTACTGATGTCTAGAAAAACCATAGAACAAAAAATAAGCCATACAGTATCTCTGCCCTACTGTCACTGTTGGTCAGAAAGAGCTAAAGCAAATTATAACCAGTTCTGCACCTTCTGAGGGATAGAACATACTCACAGCATTCAGCGTTCACTGGTAAATTTTGCCCTTGGGCCTCCCAGGTTCTGAGCTTCTTGGCAGAGCTTGGAAAGCTGAAGCTAAGGAAGACTAGGCTAGAGACTTCGGAGGTGCAGAGAGGTTGTGGAGTCTGCTTCTCTGGAGATATTCAAAACCCGCCTGGACGAGTGCAGGAAGTGCAGCCTGCTCTAGGTGACCCTGCTTTGGCAGGGGGGTTGGACTAGATGATCCACAGAGGCCCCTTCCAACCCCTACAATTCTGTGAAAATGGCATGTACATAATGCATACGGAAAAACGGAAAGCACTTGACCAGTGTTGAAGGAGATAGCGAACATTGCTGTAAGATTGTTGAAAGATCTGTCTGAAGAAGCTGTCAAAGACAACAGCAAGCGAGGAAGGCTTCTGATGACCAGAATCCACCTTCGAGGAGAAGGACCCATGGAACTATGGGTTGGTAAAGCTAATCTCAGTCCCTGCAAATATTATGAAGCAAATCCTCCAGGAAGCCATATCCATGCATACAGAGGAAAAAGTGACTGGAAACACCTAGCATGGCCAAACTGTGCCTAGCAAACCTGACAAGAAAGTTGGCTCTATGGATGGGGGGGACAGCTGTCCATGTCATTTACTTAGATCTCTGCATGGCTTTCAGCCATCTCCCACACACCTGTATGGGAAAACTGGCAAAATATGGATTGGTTAGGCAAATATCAGCTGAACAAACTAAACGTGAGACAGAAGTGTGCTCTGGCAGCAAAGAAGGCCAAGTCCCTCCTATGCTGTATTAGCAACAACGCAGACAATACATTGAAGAAAGTTATTACTATCCTGTGTTCAGTACATTTGATACTATACTTGGTGTGCCATGTCCCATTCTGTGTTTCTCATAAAGACGTATATTAACACACTGGAGCAAGACCAGAGAACCTCTACCAAGATGCAGCACATGATGTCCAAGGGGTTGAGAGAAATGTGGGTTTTTATCAACCTTCAGAAGAGAAATCTGGGTGGGAAAAGTCTTATAGTTGTCTTCACTTATCCAACTGGAATGACAGAAAGAGACTCTCAGAAGTGCATAGTGACAGGGCAAGAGGCAACAGAAAAAAGCTGCAACAACTTTCATTAGATTTAAAAAAAATCTTTTTCACAAAGAGGGTGGACAAACACTGGAACAGATTGCCCAGAAAGGTGGCGGAATCTTAGTCCCTGGAGATATTCCGAACTTGACAAAGCCCTAAGTGACCCGACCTAAGCTGGCTCTACACTGCGTGGGAGAGTTGGACCAGTTATCTCCTGAGGACCATTCTAATCTAAATTGTTTCATGATCCTATAGGTGATCCTGACAGACTTGATTAGACAAAGAATTAAATTTCCAAGGTGAAGAAGTAGACAATTGCTGAAATAAGCACTTCACATTTACCTCTTTTGACAAATCATTCCTTTCTTTAGCTTGTGCTTTGTGTGACACCTCTAATATCTCATATTTTCTTCTGAGTTCTGACAAATCATGTTCAAATACATCACGTTCACTGTTAAAATAAAATGAAACAATTAGACACATAAAGTGTTAACGAACAAAATTCCTGTGCATTTGTAATTCCTCAGCCTTCTTTCAGTTCATGACACTGACTTCTTCCAACCAGTCACTCATAGGGCAAATGGTGATAATCTTACCTTTTTTAGTTATTAACACCTGCAACAGTATGTTATTATATGAAAGAATTTTCTTTGTTTCTAAGCATTTAAAAAATAATCCTAAATTATAATACAATAATCCTGAACTCCCATCCTAAATTATGTCATCCTCCTCTGATTATTATTCTTTAGTATAACTTTGGGCTATACATTTCTCCTCTTAGCAATGAACTGTAAGTACCCTTGTCCACCCTTTTAGCTTTATCAAGCTTTTGATGCTATTTCCCATGACATTCTCTTGAATCTTTTGTAGACATTGAAATCTGACAAAAAACTAAAGCAACATCATTCCTATCTTCCTAGTCAAACAGAAAGCAATGTATACTTGTTCTTAATTGCTGCCCTCCCTCGCATACTGTCCCTTGATACCAGAAGGGGCTGTACTGCTCTTCTCATGTTTAAAGTATACATGACACAGCTGCAAAAATTGTGTTGGTGTCCTGAATAAGAGTGCTTTCCATATGCACAAATAAGCAGCTCTATGTCTCCACTCTATCTGGCCCTGTCAGAACAGGCAAATGAATGAGCCACTATGAGCGTGCAGTTTGGAAGAAAAGCTAATGAGTTTTATATTAAGCACAGCAGAGCTTTAAAACTAAGATAACTTATAGTACATCAGAACTAGAAGATTTGACATAGCATTTTCACAGGCATAAATGAGCCTGGAAGCGATTAACTCCTGCAATGCTCTCAAATATCCTCATACAGCCATGCCAACAGTGCTTCCCCCTAACCATCATCTGTGCCTACCCAGATGAATACAACCTACTCTCTCAAATATAGTTTTGGCATGCTCATTCATGCCTTTTTCAACTCAAGACTATTTTAAATGTACACTGTTTAACACTGGGGCCATTCACATGAACGTTATTACAATCCACTTCTTAAGTTCCAGTTGCACATGGCAAGCAAACCATAGCATCAATCCATCCTATTTGCAACAAGCTTCCAGGTAGATTCCAAGGTTGTTTTAGCGTATATAGCTGTGAATGGTTACCCAGAAGACAGACTCTCCTTCAAGTGACTTAGTGGCAAAGCCATTTGTGTCAGTAACTGTGCCGGAGCTCATTCAGTATGAGTAACTAAGGAGCTGACAGGGTTTTTTCTATTCATAATCCTCATTTTTGAATCCATTCCCCAACAAATGTGCCAAAAGTCAGATTTCCTGTATTTGCAAGCACACTGAAAAAGCCATTTAGGAGCAGGATTGTGAAGTATACATCTATGACTCTATAATAAAGTCCATTCTCACTATTTTGCAATTGTCATTTACAAGATGGGCATTCAAAGCATAGGCTACAACTGTTAAAATCCGTATTTTAAAAATGGAGACACTGTAACTTCCTGCAGTTAAACCAGTTCACTCATAACAGCCCTTTCAAATTTATGGTTACAAGGATATCTTAAGTTGTAAATCTTAATTCTCAAGGTTCTACCATCTTAATTCACTGTGTAGGCATCACACAGTAGAGCACAGAGCCTTTTGTTATATTATTGCTTTTAAACTAGCCAAAAAAGAGTATGCATTCTAAGATGCTTGGCATCAACAGCTCCCACTTCTTTAATTGCAATGAGACTTGTAGGCTCTTCTGAAAACAGTAAATCCCTAAATATAAACTTTTTAGGAAGATAATTTGATGCATCAGATTTCAAAATGTTGTTCATTTTATGACCGCAATATGCTACAGGAGATAATTGAACCACTAGTGGATTGAGGTAAGGAAAAACATCTCTGGTGTGCGCAAGCCAAAAGTCAAACGAAAAACTCTAGACAATCAACACTGAAGTTTATCTGTTAATATTTGTATGTTAGTAGAACACTTGAACTATAGAGACACCTACCATTTTACTTTATCATAGTTCTCTTGTCTGTAATCACCTTGCTGAATCATCTGCTTGCTATCAGCCAGTTCCAGTGTTAAACGCTGGCATCTAATCTCAAGCTCTGACCGATTCCTCCTCTCGTCTTCATAGCTCTAGAAGGTAAGACATTTTGAAATGACCACAACTGCACTGATATTTACTTACAGCAATCACCAACTAAGTTTTGTGAAAACCTCTTACGGATATTCAAGTGGTAGTATTTTCATTTTTCTCAGTATTTCAAAATCTAGCAAACAACACAAAGTAACCAGCTATACCGATAGTCAACTTGTTTTTATCTTATTCTAAATAGTTGATTAATATACCTAATTTTTTCTAACGCATTTGTCCATCAGCACAACTTCCAAGACCAGTAACCCTCATATATATAGCCAGTGATCTACAAAACTATAGTAGGAGCACAAAAGTCACATCACCTTTACAACATTTTCAGACAAGTTTCCTTGTGAAGACACTTGTCGTTCCACTTGAAAACAAGAAAGAGGATTGGTCATTCAGAAAGTTTGGCAACTTTTGTCATTTTAAGAAAAATTTCAGCT